TTTACTGATTTACCGTATTCTAATGAGCTACATTATCCATATACAAATCAATTTATTCACATCAGTCGACAAATTTCGGATGCCCTTCAGGCTATTTTAGCAACATTACCTGGCCAACACAATATTTCCATTATTGATTACAGGTTTTTCAATTTATTTATTAATTACTTTTTATTTAATTTTTCATGCATAAAATATCGCATTTAAATTTGTTCACTATGTTCTTTTTTTTTTTTTTACTTTTTGTTACAATTCTTTAATCAAAATTTGGTCTTTTTTTTGGAGGGATGAACTTTAACCCAAAAATTTTTTTTTGAAGTTTCATTTTTCAATTAAACTGGAACTTGTAATTTTTAGCATTTATATTATTGTATGGTCGTCATCCTTATTTCTAAATCATTTCAATAAAGATAAACAAAAAATGAATTAAATTTCAAAAATGTTTTAGTTTAAAAATTGTCTCAACTAATGTTTATCATTTCCAAATGATCAAATTTTCAGTTTACAAACAAAATTTCACCATAATACTATTGCGCAATTGTCATTTTGTTTTCCCATTTATAAACTATAAAATAATCAATTTGAAAGGAAAAAAAAAGATGAAAAACTTATATCCAATTCACTGGAAATTTTACCAAAACAATACAGGTATCAACCAATAATTGGTACTTTGGTAACAATCGAGATAACATCACGGAAAGCTCAACCAAAATTGAGAAAACTTATCGAAAAAGCAATACGATCGGGAAATATTGGTGGATATGGTGTTGATTTCGATGGTTTCCAATATCATACATTGAAGGGTCAATAAAATATTTCCATTTTCTCTAATTTTATCAAAACATTTTGAAAAAATATTTTTTTTTCAATGAAATTTAATTTTTCTGCAAAATAATTAATTCCATTTTTTTTCGTTTTTTTATTATTGGAAATAAACGAAAATTACTTCAATTTTCACTTTTTTATTTCGTCTTTTTTTTGTTTTAATTCCTTATATTTGAATAAAATAAATGAATGGAATAATATCAGTTATTGATTACCAGTGCTTCATTTTAATTTCGTATTTTTTTAATCACTCCTTTTTAATTTTTTTTTTTTCAATTTTTGTATAAGCAACTTTTCATATATCGTCTGATGCTATTCAATTACAAAATTACACAATGAATATGTTTGCCTGCTTAATTAAATCTTCTGATTAACATTTTTTTTTCGTTTTTTTTTAGATCACTACTCAGCAATTCTTGTTTGCTATTTAATATTTAATTACTTGTTTGATTTAATTAGAAAAAAAAAAGATAAATTTCTATCCTTTCTTTCCCAGGAAATAAAATAACATGGAAATATAATTCGAATTTTTTCGTATTAAAAGAAAGAAAAATAATTCCTGTAATTAACTATTCCCATTAATATTTTTTAATTGTCATGTACATAAGAATAATTTGATATATTCAAACGATTAATAATATGCATAAGCTATGTTAATATTATTTAAGTTTACAATTTCTTGCATAATTTGTATGCGAAATTTAGATTAGAATTGAAATCAAATTTTTGCAATTTTTGATTCTAATTTAGTTTTGTATTTCTTTTTTAACTTTTCTTTTTCATTTACCTTTTATTTCGAAAATTTTAACAAAAAAGAAAATATATCTAAAAAAGGAAATCAAAAATTGAGATTTACTCTTTGTTAAAAGTGATAAATTCATCGTTTCTTTTGCCGAAAAAAGAAAAAAAACGATTTAATTCTTATTTTTTGATAGGAAAAAAAGCAATAAATAAAAATAAAAATCTGTTATACAATAATGAATTGTAATAAAAATTTAAATTAAATTATTTCATTTAATGATCTTTGTTCGTTTATTTTTATTTTTATTTTTTCTGACAATAATATAGTATACCAACCTTTTTTTTATCTCTTTAACTTTTAGTAATTTCATTTGAGCAAATTTCAAATTTACTTGAATGATACAGACACACACACACACACACACACACACACACACACACACACACACTCAATACCTTAAAAATGCTAATTTTTTGTTTACACATTTTATTTTGCATAATTTGAAAAAAGCAAAAAACATTTTGAAAAACAAAAAGAAAACAAGTTTCCACGGTAAGGACTAATTTTGGGAATGATTTTAACAAGCAAAAAATACCCGAAAATGCTGCATGTATTGTTTGAAATATACCTGAAATTTGCCATGATTTTGAAAATTACCCGACAGTTACACCTGTAATTTTATAATTTGCCCGACATTTGAGACTTTTTAATTAGGAAATTAAAATATGCGAGTACTATTAGTATTATAATTAACTAATGAATAAATACTTTTTTGGTTGCAAATATTTTTTTGTCGTCTACTTCTTCGAATAAATATCGTTTTTTCATTTTAAATTTTTCTGGTTGGATTGGTTTTTTGTTGATTTAAATTTTTTTTATTTTCGAACGTAATTCAAAATCCATTTCAAATTTATGACTCAATAATTTTTTTCTTTTTTTTTGAAAAAGGGAAGAGAAATGTTGTGTTTTTGAAGCATTTTTAGTTTTTTTTCGTTTTTTTCTAATTTGAAATTTTGATAATTTTTGTGATTTCACTTTTTATCTATTTGTCTCCCTCCATCTCTCTCTCTCTCTCTCCCTCTCTTGTTCTCTTCTTTTTCACAAATGCAGTTGAGACAAAAGTATGATTAACAAAAATTGCAAGGAATTTAAATTTTTGTTGGATTTAATTAGTACTGGTGAAAATAAGGACGTAATTTTAATTATCACCATAACACTATTATCAATATAAAACATGATTATCAATATAATACTTAATTACCAATATAAACTTAATTATCAATATAGTACTTAATTGTGAATATAGTACTATTAGCAACACAGAACACGATTACCAATATAGTACTTGATTATCAATATAATAATTGTCAATATAACACTTAATTGTGAATATAGTACTATTATCAACATAGAACACAATTATCAATATAATATTTAATTATCAATATAACACTTAATTGTGAATATAGTACTATTATCAACATAGAACACAATTATCAGTATAATATTAATTATCAATATAACA